CCATTCTATCATTCTATGATTCTATCCATACGATGACTTCCACGTATGCTTAACCCGGCCTATAAAGACTGAACATGAAGTGTTTACTAAGGGGTCATGGAGAATGCAGACAATGTTCAATGACACCAGTGATATTAGTAGCTGCTTACATTTTTATCCAGTCCTGCCCTTGGATGAGTCACAGGAGTGAAATACTTGTGGCTATGAGGTTTCTGAGAACTCCACTCTTGACAAATCCTGCCCCTTCCAGTTTTTGCTACTGTGCCACGATAGTCTTTACCATTACCGTTAATGCAGTCTGTGAAAAAAGTGGAAAAGGAACCACTGTTAGCTGACAAATCTCTATATGGTGGTGATAAGCAGAAACAAGGCAGATTAATTAGGGCTTGCTCAAAAGAAAGACAAAAATGTACCCCTGTGATGTGATATGTCAAGGTGGATGTACTCCTGGATGTACAGAGTGAGATTGGAAAAAAATTTAAGGAGCTTCAGGCTAAACATTTTCTGTAGCATATAACAAATATCTGAAAAGACTTAAAGATTTTTGCCAAGTTGGTATCAGTAAACACCTTCCCTGAGAAGCAAATTTCAGAGTTAGCAGCCCATTACACTGAGACAGCAATTGTGGCTTCTGAAGGCATTGCTTCAGGTACTTTATTCTGCTGCCCACGAGCAAGAGTGCACAGCTCCATTTACGAACATAACTTTCATTCAACCCTGCTGCCTTCCTTTGCAAAGTCAATAATCCATGGAAAATGCTACTATACATTCAGAAAAGTCACACCACTTTGACCAACATGGATGATTAATTAAGGAACCAATGAGGGAGGTTAGAGCAAAAACCTGTTTCTTTTGGTGCATACATTTTGCAAAACAAGGTTGCCTGTGAACAATAGAACAAGCTAAGGTCAGCATTCTAAAAACTTAAAGCACAGCACCAGCAAAATTCCTATTACAACAACATTCACTGTGATCATATTTCAATAGCACAGAGCTACAAAAACACTGGAATTTTTCTTTCCTCTTGTTCCTCTAAATGAAATTATATCCTACATAATGCACTGTAAAATTATATACGCTAAAGGGTATGAACTGACTAAACAGTACTTGCTGAAAAATTCAACAGTGCAGAACTGAAAGCTGGAGGAGGAATGTGACTGTTATGTGGTTATCATCACTCAAGAATAATTTTGATAGATTACTATTTCCTTTTCCCACAGAATCTACAGGAGGTGTCACTTGTAGCCAGCTGTTACCAGATGTGGTGGGTGTAATCAGCCCAACATTCTGTGCCATTGTTGCAGAAGCGTCATTAGGTGTGGGGTCTTGTGTGTGATCATCACACCTCCTGAGATTGCAGTACTCCCATGTCATGCTGGGGTCAGTGGTGAAACACCATGGGCTGTTATCACCATCTGGGTTTCTACAATAGTTGTCCCTCAAATCCCTGCAAAAATAAGTATAATAGTCATGCTGCATGAGACTGAAAGTAAGCACCTTGCCAAAAAGATGTAGATCTGTACTATGTAGACTTAAACACATTTATTAATTTTTTACTTCTTGCCAGGTATCCTATTACCAGCAAACACATTTATGGCTGTGATACAAGTAAAGAGTTATATGTCACATGTATATCAGAGTCATTAATTTATTTACGCATAAAGAAACATAATTCAACTACTGGCTTAAATTCTGGCTGTAATATGACAGTGTGCTAAATAAATGCCCAATATGTCAATAATTTCATGTCTAAGTATATATGTATAAGCACACATAATCGTGTGAATGTGTGAATTAGTGATAAATATGCAGGAAGATCCATACTGTTGGTAGGTAATTAGGCTTTAGCAAAGTTTTTATGTTAAAATGTCAAAGGGTTATTTCTAATATTAAGAAGAATGGCAAATAAATACGTAGTGTAAATGATCCCTCCCCTACACCCCAGATAAAATACTTCTACTGAATTCAGTGGGAACACTCCCATGCCTGTGCTTGCTGGGGCATGGGAAAGTAGAATTATTTTTTTTCAATAATTTGCAGAGTTGCAGTATTTCCCCATCCCAAATCACAGCATGGTCACAGAATTAAAACAAAAAGAAATTTTTTTTTTTTCAAATATGCCAGAACACATTAATTGCACATTTTCACAGCTTGATTTCAATTTTTTAAATGTGTTTAAAAAACAGCATCCCTTCTGAAGATGTTCCAGTTTCAATACACCAGTATTTTTGATGCCAAAATATGACTGAAAACTTTAAAAAAAGAAAAATTTAGGATGACATCATAAAAAAGGGGAAAAAGATTAGACTTCCTGCTTATACTTGTGATACACCAAGCAATGATGGATTTCCTAGAAATTGTCTTACTGCTTTCCTACCCTTATTAACCACAGGGACATAAGTATGTTTAGCTGTCCAAGTCATCACAGGCCCAGTTTTGATAATCTAAACAAGACCAATCAAGGGGGAAAATTCAGTATATGCAAGTCTGGGTGCCCAATTCCAACTAAAAAGAATATTCAAATGGTAGTTCTAATCACAATATATCTGACTGTGTGTTTTTGCACCATAAATGCTCCCAGATGGAGTAAGTGGAAAGGCCACCATAAAGGTCTCAAATTCATAAACAAAATGCCTATTTCAGCATATGCCCAGACTCTGGATACAAGTCTCTTGGCTACAGAAGCTCGGATTTAAGAGTAAAGGGACCCAGCTGTATTTTACTCAGAATTTAAATAACAAGGAAACAGTTTTTAAAAATGAAACTAACTCTTGGAAAAACTCCCTGTTATTGATACATTCCCTGGCAGTGTTTTAAGGCATAGATGTGCAAAGACAATACCAATGGTCAATGGCATTGTCTTTGGTCATTGTCATTGTCAGGTAAAGCAAGAAATTTGAGATAAACATACGCATTTGGGAATCTGTCCGGGGTTTTTTCATGCCTGTGTGGGAACATGGAGTTCCAGGCCTGGCATTTCTTTCCTGATACAGTGATGGAAGCTGTGCCACGATAACTCTGGCCTTTGCCTTGGTAGCACTCCTCTGACAGGGGAACCTGCACAGGCGCATCTGCAGTGAACAACAGAAACTTGGCTTTTGCATCACAATTTTATGTTTACTGAGTAGGCACAAGAAAGCATCAAACACACGGGATGACAAAAATGAATGACTCATTTATACAGACAGTGCCCAGTGAAAGCATCACAATCATCATGGAAATCAGAAGGGCATTCCCAAAGACATTTGGGAAACTTTCATGCGTCAGATGTTGTTTGGTGGAAGGTCCATCCATGAGTTCCATTTTGGTATATGTGAACATGTCTGAATTAAATACCAGAAAGTTCACAGGAAAAATCCTCAAAGATTAGATGCTAGTGATTTTGTCCCAATACATTTCTAAAATGGACATTATGTTAAACTTTAATCACTTTGTTATCCTTTTGATGCACTAAGACCTTCTTGTTATTTTTTGTGCTTAAATGAAAAATGAATGGATGTTTCAGATGAGTTTTTTATTACTTTGGAAGATCCTGTCCTCTCTTTATGTCTACTTTCAAAAAATAGCACTTCCTTCTATTTAGCACTTTTTTATACCTTTAAACTTATTATTCATTTTTCAATTAACTTGCTAAAAATGACCTACATTCAGGGAAAAAAGGGGAAATATAAAAAAATAAACTTCTTTCATCCAGCAATTCTTCTGTTGGGTCAGCTGGCGATTTACCTCCCTCACTGCACTTCCGTAAGCATTTAAAGTACAATATTTGGCAGGTTTTGTAACATGCCAACCAGAAAACCTGCACTAACAACAGTGACAAAGGGACTGAGGAAAGATTTGGCACATTTACAATGAGAAACAATAAAGTTCTTTAAGGTCCTGCTTTAAAGTCCTTCTGTCAAGTACACTCCACTACTCATACCAGCAATCCCTTGTTCTGTGCCACCACAGTGGGGAATTGCACAATATTCCCATCGAACGTTGCTGTTGACGGTGTAGCACCAAGGCCTCTTCTCTCCATCAGGATTTCTACAGTAGTTTTCCTCTAAGCCCCTGAAACAGAAACATCAGCTCATGGAAGAGTTTTGTTCAAGAGTATGAACGATGACTTCATGCAGCACTCAACTCTGTGGTTATATTTATCCTTTTTGGAGATTACCTCATGCACCTCTATTTTGGGACTAATCAACTGCCTTCAAATTTACAGTCTAAGTGCTGATGGTATATGAAGAACTTCTCCAATGCTTAACTTTCTCTCTTGTTTTTGAGACCAAGACATGGCAGCAAAAGCTGACTTCAGGACACAAGCCATTGGTGTATCTGATTGTTACAGCAAGAACCAGGCGACGCTGGATGTCACAGACCGATTAATACTGAAAGTATGTGCTTATGGGCACCGGTGCACGCTGCTCTTTGCCCTGTGATTATGGACAGCGTTTCACGTGCCCAGGAGAACTTGCAGGATCCATTTCACAACCTGCAGGATCTAAACAAAGGGCTAAAATGCTGGTCACTCCGTTGCCCATTGATGATGATCTGCAAACCCAGCTCTTCTGACCTTGGAGCACAAGTAGGTTTTGGAACATCTTCTGCCTTGGAGCATTGCTCTTCAGAAGAGTAATGCTTTGAAAGTGTGCCAAAACACACCCAGGAGAGTTTTAGCGTAAGAGTAGTAAATACTTATAACTCTGTAATGGGATGTGGAGGAGACAGGTGAGACAAGTACATGAGAATAAAGTACCTGGTTAAAAAAATAAGAAGCTCAAAAAATTTAAGAGCAAGACCTGAATGGAAGTAATGAGAGCTGAAAAAATGCGAGAAAACAGCTTAGCGACATAGCTGCAGAAAACCTGTGCTACTCCTGCCTCTGCATCTGGATCTCTAAGGGATAACCATGTTCTTTCATTCTGGTTAAAATGGCGAGTCTCAGCATACTTGCAGGGATATCTGTCAGGAATCCAGCCATGTCTGTGAGGAAACTGTGTGTTCCAGTGCTGGCAGGCATTCCCCGATTCGGTGATGGCTATCGTGCCTCGATAGTCTTCTCCTTTCCCTGAAAGACACTGGGAACCCAGGCCAGAAACTGGTGGGTGTGTAGCTGTAACAGGATTAAAAAAAAAAAAAAAAAAAAAAAAGAAAAAGGAGAAGAAAATAAAGGAAAAAACACAGCTGTAAAGTGCTTTCAAATATATTAAAAAACCCTTCTGTTTTAGGTAATGTCAAACATGCATCTTTTCCTTTCAGCAGAGATGACTGGTTGAAAGCCACAGCAAAACCAAAGTATACGTTTTGACAAGCAGTCAGGCTGCCAGCCACATGTCCTGTGCCTGCCCTTTTCCAGCAGTCAGTAAGTAACTTTGCTGGGTCGAGCCAGACTTTGTGCCTGCAGTCCCCTGTGAGCAGAGCTGAAAGGCAGTAAGTACTCCTGTACAGTCTGGTAAAATCAAGTGGGACGAAGGGAGCACATTAATATATTACACATGGGTAGGGTGGAAGAGAAGAAAAGATAAGGATAAGGGTCAAAAAGCAATTGTGAGAGAAAGCAAAATAGTCTTCAGAGCTGAGCGTTTGGAGTCAGTGAACTGGGGAAGTTGGGTGGAAGGAGGAGTGAAAGACAGTGGATTGATCTGGCATGTGAGGAAGAGCAAAGAAAATAAGAGTAACCATCAGAGGTACAGAACCAGAAGAGGGCAGAGAGAAAATTAATCTAACCTATTAATCTGATAGGTGCATACCTATTATATACATTTTGTATATGGAATTACCGAAGATGACAAGTATGACTCTAAAAGGTTGGTCTGTTTCTTGAAATTTCTCTGAGTTTTAATGACAAAAAAGGAGATGCTGTGGTAACTTTCACAATTAATCATAGAGAAAGGAATAGTAATTCTTCCATCTACATGAGCACCCTGAGGTGAGCTCCATCTAGCAAACACATGCTGCTTAGGGCACTGGCAGGTGCAGATGCATAAGAAAGCAAGCTCTAGAGACAAAAGCACAATGTTTTTTCTCAAAGCACAGTCTAGCTCTACAAATGCCAATGCTAATCCCATTATTCAGTGATTTGGAAATGTCCAGATTTAGTGTTCTCAGCTTAATGGGTTAAGCTAGCTCACGGATAAGTCAAGTTTTTCTCCTGAGGCATGAATTTATTTCTTAGGATTCATCCCTTGCTAAGAAAAAGGCAGTGCTGGTTGTGCTGGCCAGACCCAGGTGAAATATCACAGTATGAGTCACAGAGTCACAGAATGCTAGGGGTTGGAAGGGACCATGTATGGCTACACGGTGGTTTAGGTGTTTTCCATGAGTTAGCAGGTCAGCTGAAATTTACCACCTGATTTAACCTGAATGCCCTGCCTCTCAGGTAAATTGAAAAGTAAGGTGGTTGAAGGCAAATTAGGGTTTCTAAAACATCTCTGGCAGTATTTCACTTTCTGACACCTGCATCCTCACTGACCTTACATGATTTTATGTAACAGAAATGTAGTGAGTGGTTCAGCTTATTAATGTGCACTTTCCCTGATTCTCAAGGATTTTCTCAAGTTACTCAGAACTGTGATTCCTTGTCTTTCTCCTCCCTGCATCATTTTAATGAGAAGAGCTTCCCTATGGAGTGATCTCAGGAAATCAGACTCACTGCAACGAGGAATGTTACAATATTCCCAGCGTTTGGAAGGGCTGGTAGTGAAACACCAGGGCCGAACTTCGCCGTCAGGATTACGGCAATAATTCTTCTTCAGATCCTTCCCTGGAAAGCTGCACATTGAAAATGAACGAGAAGCCTGTGAGTCAGCTACGGCTGGCTGTAGCAATTAGGCTGTCTGCAAGCAGGGTCTCACAGGCACTGCGGGAATGAATTCAGCATTGAGCATGACTCACTGTTTCAAGGTAAATCCATGCATATGAGGCTCTTGGGCATCCCAGTTCTGGCACTTAAGCCCAGACTCTGTTCTGGAAACTTCTCCATGATATTCTTCACCATTACAGTGCATGCACTCCAATGTAGGGCCTAAGCAGGATGAAAGCAAGGCAAGGTTTGCACCAGCCTGTGAATTTTGATGCAAATCTATTCATGGAAGACTACAATGAAAGGGAAGGAAGGTTTTCCTCCATCTAATGATGGAAGGAATACAGAGACCATGCATTACAGCATAGCCAAATAAATAAAGCTTTAAGGATACATGTCATTTGGAGGGAGGTTTTTGTCAGATAACAATGTACTGATAGCAATAGGAGTTCTGTATGTAACACAGTACTTGGATCAATCTTTACTCTTGTTAAAATTGAATAAATTGCTAGGGGTAAGAGCAGGACAATATCAGCAAATAATTAAAAAATTTCAGTTCCTCCATATTTACAGAATTACTTTGATAACTAGAGCTAACTAGGAAAACAACCTTTGTGTTGAGATCTTCCTATCTTCAGCTTGATCTAAATTCACATTTGAAACCAATCTGCAATAAGAAAGCAAGAAAAAATAGCAGGAATAGTATTACATGCTTGAATACTCCTGCTCTAAAACAAATATACCTTCTCCAGTGTGCACGACCTGGCCCTCACACTCCGGGATGTTGCAGTAATCATATCTGGTAGCAGGGTCTGTTGTGTAACACCAGGGTCCATTTTGATCATTATCAGGATTTCTGCAGTAGTTCTGCTCTAGTCCTGCATTGGGGTGTTTCTCAGGTGTATAACTGTAAGAGTATTAAAATTCTAATTTAATTCCAGTAATTTAGTGGAGCAGAAGGGAAATGTCCAACTTGGTCAGCTAGCTGTGGGCTCTGTTCAGTCACAGGAAAAATGAGACAAACAGATTCCCCGTTGTAACCCATTAATGAAATCTGAAAAACATTTTGTAACTACCATTATTACTAGCTTCTCCCTATGTCCCAGTTGCCAGTGATGAGTGAGCTGATAGCCTATAAGGACTATGACAGCTTCAAAGGACAATTATTGCCTTTAATACTTGCATCCAACTGATCTACTCAGCTTACTATGGCCTGTGGCTCTGTCATGTATTTTTCTTAATACAGCTACTTTAAAAGTAGAGTGTTTCTAGAGTCTATTCACAAAAGACAACTGGATCTTAATTTGCAGAGATTTTGAAGCAAGTGACCCTAGGCTTCTTCCTACAGCAATCCTCACAGAGAAGACTAAATGGCTTTGGAACAAAAAATCGAAACAAACACATCCAAGTTTCATTAGAATAACAGCAAAACCCAACTTTTTATACAGATAAAACTCCAACATAGATCAGAGGAAATAGGCTCTCCGTTTCCCCACTTGCTTCAGTGAGCCCAGGGCAGCCAGCCCTGAGAAAACTCTGCCTGGACATGTCCCTTAGGCACATACATGCTCTGCTGGATGTTTCTTCTTGAGTGTCTCTGGATTGCATGCAGGAGGCCATAGAGCTGGACAGATACCACTTCTTTTTTTGTCATATCCCATACTGAAAAAAGAAATTATGCCCTCACTGTCACCAATAGCAAAATTTTCATCATGGGTTGATAGAGGGAGCATTTAATCTTCTAAAAAGGCCCAGCATTTAGGTAGAACTTCTCTAGCTGACAATAAACCCTTTCCTTACCCAGACCATTGCAGTTCTCTGCAAACAGATTCAAAAGTAACAAGACAGATGAAGATAAAGTTGTCTTTAAAAGTCACCTGACAACTGACTTTGATAACATGCACTACAAGGTTGTTTATACACATGAAGTTGGGGAAGCTTGAAAAGACTCAGAACACAGAAGAGAAATAAAAATAAGACCATACTTTGGGTTGTGAGGTGTGTTTTCTGCCCACTTCTGGCATGGAATACCCCTCCAAGTTTTGGCTTCAGTTCCTCTGTAGTCCTTCCCACTCCCTTTTTTACACTGTAGAAGATAAACTGAAATGGAATTGGCTTTGTTAGTTCAATGGTGTTACACACTGCATCTCTGGAAACTGACCATCTGTAGATATAACTCTGAAGTTCATCAGTTTATGATGCTTTAGCCATGTTATAAACATCTTGTGCATGCAAATAGAAAGAAGTGATTCCCTAAGGTATTTTGAAACAAACTAGTTAGCAACTACTAGTCAACTACAGAGGAAAATTCCTGGATTATTTTTATGCAGCTAGAAAAATCAAGTTAAGAAAACAGATATAACAAGTTACAATTGTTTCTGACACATATCAAATGCTCCTACAGGGTTTTGCCATTAACACAGAGAAAGTAAAACTGTAACTGCCAGACAGGTGTTCATGGAGCCTTTGTAACTATGGTCAATCCAGAGTTTAGACTGCATACAGATCCCATAGTGTCTCTGGCTGTGTAAAATGTGAGCGCATAATATCTTGTAGCCCAGCACAAATTCTTAAACTCACAGAAGGATGAACCCTTTGGCATTGAAGTAGCTGTTCTGTACAGGTTTTGTGCATCCAGCCCCAAGAAAAATAGGATCTGTCAAAGACTGATGCCAGAGTAACTGTTATGATCTCCAAGGTCTGAGTCAGGCATAGCTGAGATTGTACAGTCGCCATAAGCCTAAGGGAGTGGCAGTCACAAAACGTCCTGGGGACTGCTTCCTCCAAGCCGAAGATTCCATCATATTTCAGCAAAAAGGAGATTTACAGCAGTTATTTCCTGGTGCTGAGGAGTCATGGTGGGGAACAAAAACCTTTCTGAGGCTTAAGGATGCCTTTAGTTCCAAAATTCAAGTTCAGATTGGGTGATGCTGGATGTGACAATTAGGTTGCTTCTAAGAAGGTAAGTCTCACTTCTAGAATGCACTTTCACAGACTTACGAGAAATATCTGTGGTTTGAGGTGGATTGGGCCTATTACTGATACCAAATGTTGCCATTTAGATTATGCAGAGACTTCACAAATATGTTGGCAGTGGTAGCTGTGGGTTTCAGAAGGAATGAGATAGTCTTGTATTCATTCCTGATAGTGAATATAGAAGGAAGATGACTACATCTTCTGTTTGAAAAAACAGGCACTGTAAAACTGTCCCCTGAAAAAACAAAGAAACCAGTTTTCTGGCTGCTAGAGCTAAAAGCAATTCCCACTGAAGCAGACTCTCATGACGAGATACCCCTAAGAAGCCAGAGGTAGTTTGTTGCATAGTGACAGCATGAGAGCTGAATGGTATATGGGAATGCCAAGGGAGGCAGCATGTGTCCTGGGTGTCAAAGATGGATCTCCCAGAGTGCAGAAGGTGGCAGGAGATGAAGATGTGACAGGCAGACCCCAGATTGCAGAGGAATTTACAGAACACATACTCCTCCTTTATCCTGTTTTAACCTCAAAGGAAAACTCTAATCAATTTGACTTCAGTAAAAAAAAATAAAATCACATTTAAAATGTTGACACATTGACAACACCCATTATGCCTACAGATATTTCACTTGTGCCAGAAATTACTTGGCTGAACCTGGTCCAATATTCTTCTGTACTGGTGACTTATGAATCAGTGGTCTGTGAGGAACGTGAAAAAGAACAGTGCCAAAGAGCTTCCCATAGGCTTTATTCTGGCAGTTTCAGCCCAGTTCACCTCACTGGAACTGTCACCACCAGCAATACTTTGTTCCAACACTACAGCAGAGAATGCAAGGATGCAGTTAAAACAAGCTTAATATGTAAATGTGTACCATCTTACTATACACATACTTTTCTTCTCATAAAGAACTGCATCCATGCTGTTGAACGTCACTGTCATTTTGGCATTTTCAGCCAGTGTTAAACACTGTAGCTTTTTCCTGGTGAATACGAAGGCCCTGTTGAAATTGAGAAGGAAGATAGGAAACAATATTTTTAATTAAATTAAAATTATTAAATTAATAATTATTTCTCTACAAAATAGAAAACTGTATTGTATCCATTTGTATTTTTTAAATACTGCACTCAATATTTGAGACACTGAGTAAGAGGCTGATGTTTTCTACTGCTCTGAAGTGGCTGACTTTTTCAGCATTTATGACTACGTGAGTAAGTTACTGTGTGGGACGCTAGTTACTGCTTTGGCAAAACATCAACAGCATCGTAGCTGCTCAGGTTAGTGCCTTTTTCTAAAATCAGTTAGAAACATCTCACCCTTTTTCTGTGAAACAAGGCAGCATCCATCTAAAGAGGCATAAGCAGCTCTCTGTGTAACATTGGATAAGAGCAGAGCTTGAGCATTAACTATAGAATAAGTAATACATGGCAAACCACCCTTTACTTGAGCTTCTGGTAATTTATGTGTGGAGATAAGCCTCAAGCTAAAGGCACAGGCATGGGCAAGAGCACAGGGATGTTGGTTCTGGGCAACAGTAGGAAAATGTCATTGATATGCACACACCCACAGTGACGTTGTTTTAAGATTCAACAGAAATTACCTGCAATTAAAATTTCTTTCTGCTTCACATTTCTCTGCACATTCTTTTTCATTATTTGTCTTGTAAAACTGCTTATTTCGAGTAAGTATCCAAACACCATCTGTTCTTAAATAGTCATCCAGTATATCTCCTTTCACTGTAAGAGAAGGAAAGGAATCAGACATTAAAAATGAGAATGCTGCAGTTCAGAAAATTTGTGACGTTGGGTCCCATTTTTCATGTAGCATTGACAGGTAAAGGCACCATTTATTTTGTATAATTCTGGGGAAAACAATAAACTGAGGAAATTTCTGTCTCCTGACACAATCAAAGCTGTGTGACTGGAACATGTCATAGGAAAGAACAGCAGAAGAGAGATACAGAGAATCAGCTCCGAATGGATTTACGTATGGACTTGGACCTGAGAATAAGAAATGTGAAACAAGAGTGAGATGGACGAGAGAGAGGGACCAAACGGTATCAAACAAACAGCAGTCAGAGAAAGATGAAGAAAACTGATATTAATAAAGTTTTGGAGAAGCATGAATGTGGATGGTGCAATCACTACAGTTTTACTGGTCACTGAATTGGACCAGTTTGTCCTCAAGTGTCTTGCCCTGGAGCAAGAAACCTTAATCATAAGATGACTATATAGTCTTTTACAATAGCTATCCTTCTTTTGTTGCAATTGGTTAAGCAGACTTACTAATGAATCTGTCAGGCAGCATCTCTGTTGCAACAAATTGACCCAAGATTTTAAATAGGTAAACTAATTAGTATTATGGTATCTGAAAGCTACACGTGCATAAGATGTGTATGAGATACCAGCTAATACATTTAATGCTTAGCTCCAAGATTTTGTTGCTTACATTGGAGTTTGCCCTCTAATTGATTTTTTTTTTCCTTTTACATCTATAAAGATTCTGTGCTTCTGTTCCTAATGTCTACAAAAAGTTTATTTACGTATCCAGCATCAGGTTACAAAATTACAGAAGTGATATGGTTTAACGGTTTCACTTTTCAAGCTAGATTATTACTGACAAACAGGAAATTCATAATCTCGTACAGCATTCTCACAGGTAACACTGTGAATCTTTCTTTTATGCCAACACACATATTAGGCTCAATTCACTGCAGTGTCACTCCAGTGTAATTAACTCCCATGACATATAGGTCATCCATCACCTACCTCCACATGACACATATTCATATAAAATAAAAGGTAGTTGGGCCACTAATGAAAGTAATATGATTAATTGCCTAAGGCTAAATTTCTGTGACAGTTTGCAGAGTTGGCTCAATGCTATAAGATCCTCATGTCTTAAGAAATCCCTGGCACTGAGGCCTCCCATATCTAATCTTACTGTTACAGTAAGACTATGTGTAGCACCAACAGCCTACCAATTTCTTCTGATGGGTTCAGCAAAGAAGGGTTTCCCCTCCTAACCTTTTTCCTAAACTAGATGAGGTCACTGTTCCACAACTGCAGGGGACCAGAATAGGAAAACTTTATTTTCCAAACTTTATTGGTTTATCTTAAAAATATGTATTTGTCCAAAGAGTACTACTTTAGATACCATTCCTTTTCAGTAACTGTAAAAAAAGATCTATTTCAGTTGGTTTAAGAATGAACACACGAGATTTTGGATGGCATGCATAAACTGAAAGGCAGCACAGATTGACAGAAGCTTTGATAACAGAAAAGAAAATGTGATGTTAGATGCCTGAAAAAACACTGCAAAGTGTAAACTTAAAAAAGAAGACAACAAACTAAAAATGCAGCAGGGAATGTATTATTCTGAGTAAAGCCCAAGTTTTTATAAACCCAGACATGACTCATGATAATTGAACAGATTATTAAAATATATGTGAGCAAACCAATTTTTTCTTTTAGATATGTATCTTTCCAGACTTGACCAGTACTAATCCAGAACACAAAAAAAATAATTTTAAGGCAGTTTTGTGGATCAGGACTTTGGAGAAAGTGAGTTAGAGCTGATAACAATGAGCAAATAAAAATAACTTTGTCATCTGTCTTTTATAACTCAGCACAATCATACATTGATACATCCCTGTTATTCTGTCATATTAAATGTCTGAGCTATTAGAAAAATCATACAAACTGTACTGATATGTTTTTATAGTACTTTAAAAAAGTCATTTAAGGGCCATACAATGATATGCAAGATTAAAGTACTAGACAATATGATGTGATATAAATCTGATTAAAATGTATACTACATGTGGAATATTTATTTTACAGAATTTGTAGATGAGTTTGAAATTCATATATTACCTTTAGTGGAACACCTACCTTCTTCCAGAGTTGTAAAAAAATAATTCTAGGCATATTGCTGGAAAAGTTGATCTAGGTTACTGAAGATTAAATTTCTACCTACTGTCCCCAGGAAAACGAGAACATTTTCTTTTAAGTGTTTCATAACACGAAATGTGAAATTGCTGGAATATAAAGGAGCTTTTTAATTTTTATTTTAAATATTTAATTTAAAAACTTTAAAACTCCTATCATAAAGGATGAAAATCAGGATCACTGTGCTTAGCAATGCTTGGCAGTAAAAAAAGATTTAGTATTTCATCCAAAGCCTGCTGAAACCAGAGATAGCCATCTTACTCATTGCCATGGGTTTTGTAGGAGTCTTTCAGGCTGCTTTCCAAGGGTGCCCCCATTTCTGGCCATGGAGCATGTTTGCAGGGAGCCATTACTTCCCCCTGCAGACACCAAGGCTGTTTGTTGCTCTTCTGGGGTCTCCAACGAACACAACACCAGAGCAACCACAGCTCTTGCTTTGTTCGACAGCAACTCTCTCTGGCCAGCAAGCCCCAAATCCATTGTCATCCAGGTAAGTGGTGACACAGGGATTTAGGGTCCTACCTACACCAAGCAGAGCTTGCAAGCATTTGGCCCCCGTCTCACCCAGGCAAGAAGAAGGCAAAAGACTCTTACCTGAGCTGAGCAAGGAAAGAAAGAGAAAGGCGGCTTTGCTAAGCCCCATTTTGGCCCAGCTGGCGGGTGCTGGAAGTTGTGTGTGTGGGTGCACAAAGTTTTATTGACTTGAGCTGGAGTGAGGCAGCATCAAACAAACAAGGCAGGTAGGTTAAGTTAATCATTCTCCCATGCTGTGACCCCCTTTGCCGTGGTGTGACCATTCAAGCAACCTTGAATTGGATGGATTACCAAATCAGACTCGATCATGTGTACTGGATGCTGGGTAATCTGAAGGCACTCTCTTGTTCTGTGGGCATGTTTTGTTCTGATTGATTGGCCTCACTTTGCTATGGTTAAGGTGGTGGAAAATCTGGGAACCCAGGCACAATCTAATTCTACACAATCATGTATATTCAGCTTTAGGTCCCAATGGTATTTTCAGTCACAGACTTTTGGAACTGCTTCTGATTTATGCTTTTATGTAAGCCAGTCCCCAAAACCAGATCCTGATAATGCTAACTTTGTATCTGAATTTTTTTCAGCAATTGCCAGTGTCTTTCTAGAAGTTTCCTTCCCTTAGCTGTTTCCCATTTCTGGGTTAGTTTTTGTTGTTCATGACTTGGGAGGCAGTGTTCACTTTGGTTCAGTGTATAATGTTTCTTTCCCCTCCAGGCAAAGCTCCTGATATCTCAGGTCTGCCCAGACCTCAGGGTGCATGTAGGGGGCCCCACGCATCTCAGCAACACCAGCTCCATCACTCCCATGAGGTTCCACTAAGGCAAACCGGACAGCCCCTGGGAGGTTCAACTGGTACTCCTGGCAAGTTGGTACAGCCTTCAGCCGAGGTTGGTGGGGCAGAGGAGAACGACAGCTAGGAGCAAGGTGGGAATCCCACATATTCCCCTCTGTGCTGGGAGGACGATGGTTCTGGGAAGGTCACGTACAGCAGCCACATCCTTATGAGCATCGGTGTCTAGACAAGTCACCTGGGGTAAAAGCAGTGGTCAAAACGTACATGCTTCCAGGGCATGGGTGGGAAATGCACCCTGGGCTGGTGGCAAGTAGTGTGGAAGTGGCCTTTCTGTCTCAGCTCTGAGATGCTGCAGAAGGTTCTCAGTAGGGAGCCAGTGTGTAGCCTTCAGTCAGGATAGGCAGAAATGACAACGGTAGGAAAACAAATGGTTGGTCTTGGTAACTGTTTAGTGGTCAGTTGTGTCCATGTACTATCACATCCACAGCTCCCGACCTCCACAGTCACTTCTTGAGCATATCACCTAACCTTCAGCACACTTGGCAGAGGGATGGAACTCTAATGTTTCTACATGGCTTCAGAAAATCAGTGATTGGACAGAGTAAAGAAACCAGAATTTGTTTTCCATGAGGACACTCATGGTGGAAGCAAACACTATTCATTTCTGCTTGGCCTGTCAGCAAGTCTGTCCCTTCCAATCAGCATGTCAGCACATGCATAGGTGCATCCTGGGAATATTGGCTTCATACACATGGACACAGGAGCAACAGGCTGTCTTAAAGGAAGCAGGAGTACCTCATGGAGGATGAATGGGAAGAAGCAGGATTAGGGGACCATTTGGGAGTGAGGAGGGCATGGAGTACCCAAAGATTTCCCAGTTTGATATGAGAGAGGTGGGGTCACCAGGAGATGCAGGAGGACATGATGAGCAGGGTTACGAGCCATGCAGAGCCAAGCCTCTCTCGTTCTGCCCCTGACAGAACTGCTTGCTCTGCCCTCAGCAAATGCCATAGACTATAGATGCAGAAGTCTGAAGCCACTCTAGATCTGCTAGCAAATAATGTGGAAAAGTGTTTTGTCTTGGATCTCATTTATATCTTAGACCTATCAGAAGCAGAGAGATTTTCATGCTCATTTTCTATTAGAAACAATGGAAACGACATCTTTGCTCATGAAACATACGCTGTAATCCTACCTGATTTTGTCTGGGGTTTTCTGGAGAATGTGCTGTCCTGGTAATGTCCAGAAGAGTGCAGCAGATGATACTTTTTTTGACAAAGTAGGTGACATTAAAACCCCAGCATAAGCAAAGGTGTCAGTAAGCACAGACAGGAGATGTTTGTCCATAAGCTTGAAAAAAAATACTGAGGAATTGATTAGTTCATTGCTCATATCACAGCACAAGCTTATAAGGAAATATGTCTTATGCAAATATGCTTTGCTTTTCTTCCTTTTACTTTCCACCACAACCCACGAGACTTAAAGTGGATTGGTTTGAACTTATGTAATATTAATAGGTTCATATGCTTTATTTTCTCAAAGCAGGAGAAATTTTATTTTCCATGCAGGAAATACAGCATGCAAACATGAAATACAGAGAGAAAAAAAAAAAAATCAGGAAAAATGAGGGAAAAAAGCCAAGTCTAACATAATCACTGTAAGATACTGAAAAGAAAAAACGTAAGAAAGGTTATGACACAGTGAAAATTAGAAGCACCTATTCTGAATGTTTAAAATCCTAAATTTTGTGGGAATACAGCACAGATTTTGTCTAGATTAGAGAAATGAGAAGAAACAACTCCCTTGAAATGGAAGATAAATATGGATTAAAAAAACAAATAAATTAGCTGTGATCTCAAAATTATGTTCTTAAATTAACTTGGAAAAACACAGATAAGAGCTGTACAGTATGAAAACAAACAAAAAAAGTTTGAATGTCAAGTGTCAAATTATCAAATGCTTTCATTAGCCTTTCAGCTTGGAGAGAAATTTGTACATGCATGACCATTCTACACCTTTGCTAGGGAATAACATGCAGCTCTGCTACACTGGTGCAGAGTGTATATTTTCTTTAAGTGATGAACAGGAGACTTGTCAGTTAATCAAGGAGATACTTCCAGCCACTTATTCTGTAAATCCTGTCAATGGAATATAAGTATTTCTGCTGACTTTAGAGGGCTTTTAGACAGGCCTTTTATAATTTTTCGTTCTTAAAATGAAGTTAAAGACTCTTGGGAGGAAAATAAATCTAGGAATAGAAAATAAAATGGATGCATCTCCAAACAAGTGAGTGAGAAATCAAGTACCCCTCACCAAGGACAGTTCCTTCTGCAAGTAAATAGTAACACAAAAATTCCTCTGAAACCCATCTCTCTATATGAACTGAATAATGTGAATCAGAAGCTCCATGACATATAAATTAGGTTTTTTTCCCTCATCAAATGCAAATATGTTCCAAAGAACCAGTTTCTACAGTACTTGTACGTTGTCTAATCCTCAGTTTTCCTTTTCTGGTAAAGACACATGGATAGGAGTATCAAGTGCGAGATCAGACACCAGAAGTAATGCAGTGGATAGTGAGCACTGAACACATCTTTTGTATTGGTTGGCCAACTTGTTTATTTTTCAGTTTCACACTTTTCCATGTTTAGTCACAGAATTATCAATCCCAAGCTGGTTTCCAAAGAAAATGAGCAGAGTGCTTTCCAACTCTCTACTGGTTTCCTGCTTCGTGGTAGATTTTGTCTGTTGACACAAACCTGAATCAGATAGACTTTAGAGAGCTGTTCAGATAGACTGAGTCCAGAGCAGGACCTAGCTCCAGTCATCAGGATCATGTGAAAGACATTTTTATAAATTTTGGTACCTCATTATTTGGGGGTTCCATTACTGATCATTTGCTTGTTCTCATGGATACTCATATTTTTTCCAGAGGATGCCATTATGATGATGATTACTATTAATATCAGAGCCTCCACCTGAAACGAGAGCCCAAGGACTAGGTACTCAAGATAGACATGAGACTTTCTCAACCCTGAAGAGACTACTGCAGTAGCAGGCAATAGGTGAAGAAATAAAAGGGTTTGGCCAAGGCAGTGTCATGGCCAGAAGCCCACATTGGCCTTGCCCACTGTAGAAATTGGTGGACATGATCTCTTGGCATCACACGCAATGGCCTATTGCTTGGGTTTCCAACTAGCAGAGGAGGTGTCTGTGGGAAAGGAGATGAGATGAAGGCAAGATGCTAATGTCTTCTCCACCTGGAGCAATGGGTCTGCCTCACATGTACCAGGAACTCAGGACTGTTTCTGAGGCACCTGAATGTTAATGCCTGTTCCATCAGCAGTGTCACCTGGACAAAACACTGCAGCAACTTTCCTATTTATAAAACAGGGGCAGCAAATACTTCACCCATCTGCTGTGAGGTTAGTAAATTCAGGCTTATTTTGGAGTAGAAAGAAAAAGATGGCATAAGTGCTAAGCATATAATTTTAACAGTATGTGAGGAAGGTATGGTTCAAAAATTATAGGTAAGTATAGAAATTCTAAATAATACTGACTAGAGGCCTCATCCATGCACCTAAAAAATCAAATGAGGCTGGATAACAGAGAAACAACTTCTCCAGGTTAAAGAAACAAATCACACAGAACTTGCTAGATAGCTGTGTGGGGTTGGTCAGAGGAAAGGAGATGGAATGAAAAAGAACGAGTTGGTTTTGGCTATGAGATTATACTTCCAGAGAAATACACAAGAAGTATCTTCAACTATAGACATATAAATATATGTCTGTTACAGCATATGTACGTATGTGTGTGCATATATGTAATGATTACTGCAAAGAAAAGCAGATAATCTATTCACCATAAATGTGAAGGGTAAGGCAAACAGTATGGATTTAAATATAAAAAAAAGATTTTAAATCAAGATAAGAAAAAAAATCCCCTTCACATGTAGGAGAATGAAACACTGGAATTTCACCTGGGGAGGTTGTGGGATCTTGACAACTGGAAGTTTCAGGACATGTTTGATAAATGTCTGACAGGCATTTTGGGGTCTGTATGTGTGCCTATGCCACGATGGTTGAACTAGATAATCTTTTTTTCATCTTTTTCTTCTAATTCTATGAATTAGATTTGTGACATCTAAACAATCCCTCTGAACAGCTGTACTGCAACTCTCCACAAGGCATTGGCAGTAATCCTCCTCTTTTCTCTGCAGGATGGCTTTTGCACCTTCTGCCTTCCTGCTCCACTGGTCTCCTCTCACAGCTTGTAGACATGAAAAAAGGAAATGTTGCATTTCTAGGACTCCACAG